ATAAATGAGTATAATGATACCTATCAGTGATTATTAGTTTTATGTGTCAGCTTGGCTGTTCCATGATACCCAGATATTTTGTCAACATTCTGGATGTTTCTGTGAGGTCATTTTGGATGAAGTTTATACTTAAATTAGTAGACTTTGACTCAAGCAGATTGCTCTTCATTAGTGGGTGAGTCTCATCTAATCAGTCAAAGGCCTGAATAGAAAGAAAGACCTACCTCCCTAGAGCAGTAAGAATGGACTCAACTGCAGAATTAGCTCTTCACCTGGGTCTCCAGCCTGTCAGCCTACACTGCAGTTTGGACTTGCCAGCCTCCATAATTATGGGAGTGAATTTCTTAAAATAAATCCCCCTCTCTATCTTCTCTCTCTCTCTCTCTCTCTCTCTCTCTCGCCTCTCTCATTAAAACTCTGCGTATAACTTTTGATGTCCCCAAAACTTAGCTATTAATAGCCTACTCATGACCAGAATCCTTATCAATAACACAGACAGTCAATTAGCACATATTTTGTGTATTATATGTGTTATATACTGTATTCTTACAAGAAAATAAACTAGAGAAAATGATATTAAGAAAACCGTAAGGGCCGGGTGCGGTGGCTCAAGCCTGTAATCCCAGCACTTTGGGAGGCCGAGGCGGGCGGATCATGAGGTCAAAAGATCGAGACCATCCTGGTCAACATGGTGAAACCTTGTCTCTACTAAAAATACAAAACATTAGCTGGGCATGGTGGCACGTGCCTGTAATCCCAGCTACTCAGGAGGTTGAGGCAGGAGAATTGCCTGAACCCAGGAGGCGGAGGTTGCGGTGAGCTGAGATCGCGCCATTGCACTCCAGCCTGGGTAACAAGAGTGAAATTCCATCTCAAAAAAAAAAACCGTAAGGAAGAGAAAATATATTTACTATTTATTATGTGGAAGTGGATTTTTACAAAGGTCTCAATCATTGTCTTCATGTTGAGTAGACTGAGGAGAGGGAGAAATAGCTGATCTTGCTGTCTCAAGGGTGGCAAAGGAAGAAAATTCACATATAAGTGGACCTGAACAGTTCAAATTTATGTTGTTCAAAAGTCAACTGTATACACACATACACACAAACACACACACATATGCACACATACATCCTACTGGTTCTGTTTCCCTGAAGAAACTTGACTACAATATTTTATCTGGTTGTTGTGAAAATTAATGAGATAATGTACATGAGACCATTTGTTAATGTTAAAGTACTATAGCACATACGTGTGGTTGTCTGCCTAGTACATGTAATGTGTAATGAGCTTTGCTGACACCATAGACATGTAAATTAACATTTACAATGTGGTCATAGAGTCAATATTAGTGATAAATTGATTCAAAGCATCATAGGAGAAGCTAGAAGATAGCAACAAGTTGGGAGAGGAGCCTCCTAGACTTGTGGTTCTGGACTGATAGAGCATTTGCTGCCATAGTAAACTCGATGTGGACAGGAAACCATGGCTTAGTTGGCTTAGTTCAATTTACGTATTCAGCATCTAGTGTAACACTTTGGACACTGTTGTTGCCCAGATAACTGCTAAAGAATAAGTGACTTTTATGTACATAATCACTTCAAAATTACACTTTTGTGAGTGACTGGGTGACTCTGTGTTAACTGGAGCATTAATACAAAGCACTTTAGCGTATGGCATGGGGGGTTAGAAAATATGTATGTGTTGAGGCTGGGCATGGTGGCTCATGCCTATAATCCCAGCACTTTGGGAGGCCGAGGTGGGTAGATCACAAGGTCAGGAGTTTGAGACCAGCCTGGCCAATGTGGTGAAACTCTTATCTCTAATAAAAATACAAAAATTAGCAGGATGTGGTGGCGCACACCTGTAGTCCCAGCTACTTGGGAGGCTGAGGCAGAAGAATCACTTGAACACAGGAGGTGGAGGTTGCTGTGAGCCAAGATCATGCCACTGCACTCCAGCCTGGGTGACAGCAAGACTGTATCTCAAAAAAAAAAAAATGTATATTATATATATATATATATTTGAAGCTAGTCATGCCCTCAGAAGTGTTGAATGTCAATTAATCATAGTCTATATGCTAAATAATGGAGCTAGAACCTTAGGCTGGCTAGGGAAAGCCAAAGCCATGAATCCAGGGTGATTCCATGAATAAATACATAGCCAGTCCTCACTCTCTAAAATGAATAGCTTTGCTTCTTGGGGACTTTGCTGAACTTTGCATAATAGCAAGGTACAAAAATAACTTGCAGGAAAAACCAGGGCACTACTCTGAATTAATACTTTAAAAACTCCAGGACAGTAACTGGAATGCTATTTAGCAACACAGCAAATACTACCCAGTGTCACTTGTCAGCTCAAATCACTAGATGACATTCCTTGTAGCAGTCAATGGCCAGTCTGGACTGCATTAGCATGCTTCACAACTTTATGGATTGTGGCTTATGTGGGCAGCTATTTTGAGACTCAGGCATGGAAGAATATGGTTGCTTTCAAAATAATCTAGGCAAAAAGCTAAGTCTGGGGAAGAAGACCAGTCTTGTGGGTATTTTGGGAAGTATGTCTTCATAGTGATTATTTCCAGGCTTCTCTGGATATGGCCAGAGAGGTGGTTAATGCTGAGTGTCAACTGGATTGGATTGAAGGATACAGAGTGTTGATCCTGGGTGCTTCTGTGAGAGTGTTGCCAAAGGAGATTAATATTTGAGTCAGTGGGGCTAAGGAAGGCAGACCCACCCTTAAGCTGGAGGCACAATCTAATCAGCTGCCAGGGAATATAAAGCAGGCAGAAAAACTTGAAAAGGCGAGACTGGCCTAGACTCCCAGCCTACATCTTTCTCCCATGCTTCTTGCCCTTGAACATTGGATTCCAAATTCTTCAGTTTTGGGACTTGGACTGGCTCTCCTTGCTCCTCAGCTTGCAGACAGCCTATTGTGGGACCTTGTGAGCATGTAAGTTAATACTTAATAAACTTCCATATATATACATATATATAACACACACACACACACACACACACACACACATTATTAGTTCTGTCCCTCTAGAGAACCCTAATACAGCCAGTAAAGAAGAGACCTTCAAGATAGCCTGCCTTAAATTAAAACAGCGAGGTATTATTTTCCATCTATAAAATTGAGAAGGAATTTTAAAAATAATGGTATTACTGAGAACATGCCCCAACTGCTGATAGGAGGGTCATTTGGCCAAAACCAATTTTTAAGAATGCATAATCCTTTGACTCCATGATTTCACCTCTAAGAATTTATGCCAGGAAAATAATCCCATATCAGTGCAAAGATCTAGTCTTTAGTTTAGGTGCAGCCCAGTGTTAATTATAATAGTTAAAATATTAGAAATAAATAATATGTCTAACAGTAGAGAATTACCTAAAGGAATTTTGTTACATCCATATAAAGGAACAGTATGAAACTATTAAAAATAAGGTTGTAGAAGAATATTTGATGACCTGGAAATTTGTTCATCCTCTGTTGTTAAGTTAAAAGCAGTTTACAAAACACTGTTTACAAGTGTCCAGAACAAATCTATATTGTTTAAAAATCAAGCAAAAGAAGAATCCATACATGTGCACAGAAGAAAGTTCTAAAAGTTTCTACATTGAAATGTTAATAGCAATTATCTTTGGGTGGTGGGGTTACAGATGACTTCTATAATCCTCTTTAGGCTCACCCCCACCAAATTTTCTATTAAAAATATTATATTAGCAATTGAAGTGGGGAGAAGTCAAAGGATTTCAAACATTTCAAACAAAGTGAATGGAAAACAAAAACACCTCTAATGAACTAGAATTGTCTACTAACAGAGAAGCAGGATCATTTTACAGTGCTGTGCCTTAACCCTGACACATTCTAGGACTTTATATTCTAGGGTACTTGGTTCAAAATATATTTGAGCCCTAGTAGTACAGCATGGTCTAAAAAGTTCACAATGTTTTCATTTACCATGAAGTATTTTCTGCCCACACTATACTAAGCCTTGTACAACATGAAGTCACTTTATACAGCTCCAGGAACTGATGCAGAGAAGTGGCCTGACACATTCACGTGACTGTTAGCACACAGATTCCATCTTGGAAATGGAAGGTTTTGGCCCTTTAGCCAACACTCTCCACACCACTGAAATCTAAAACTAAATCTAAAACCTAAAAAAATTGCCTCTGGAAAAATAACTAAAAAGCTCATGTCCTAGACCCACACATAAAAAGATCTATCCTAGGTTATTGAGGAGAAGTTAGAAGTATCTGGTGAAACCTTAACCTCTGTGGAGTGATTATGTCATCCATGAGAGACCCAGCCGGTCCCACAAGTGTCCTTTGCTGTCCCTGACAGAGTGGATTGAAGGGATCATCTTGTCTAACCATGTCAACCATCTGCCACTAACACAGCTGGCTGGGGAAAGGATTTGAAATTTTAAAAAGACTGATAGTGAAAATGGCTGGGAGGTAGATAGTTTAGTTTGAATGAGTGCCCATCAAGTGATATGTGACACTTTTCCCTGTCTGTCTCCAGCTGTCTCTGGACCATAAAAAGGAAAAAGTCAAGAATACATTTATTTTTCCCACAATGAATGAGCCAGAGATCCAGACAAAATTAGGCTTAAACAAAGTGAAAAAGTGTCCCACTAGTGGTAGGACAGTAGAGAAACCTCCAGACTAACTTAAAGCTATTCTCAGCTGAATCCCCCTTGTAGCTTACTCAGCCTTGCCCAGATGGGTGTTTTGAATTAGACAAAATCTAGCATACTCTAAAAAACTGACAGTGGATAGAAGTTTAAGCATATAAGTTTCAGAATGACAGCTCCAAGGAATATGCATTCTTGACAGTCTTCCATAGTCCTTTAAGAATCAATAGTGAATCCAAGTTAACCCACCCTTATGCATCACTATTATGTCAGAGCTTCTCTGGGTCATTCACCAGCCCACCGTCAGGAATGTAAATGCACAGGTTACAGAACACGCAACTCATGAGCTGGACTGACTCACCTTGCTGTCGCTGGTCCTCCTGCAGCTTCAACTTACAGGTGTGCAAACTGCCAAGCAGGTGGCCGCTGCCTTTTCTTGGTATAGTAGTCATGGTCCTAGCAGTATGGCTGTGACTCAAGGATCACTAGAGCACCTCCTTCTCTTGCCAGTCACCTAAAATGGCCTTCACCAGATACCCAGAACTACATAGGTACATGCAGATCTTGTCTTTGCATGTACAACATATACTCCTCTACTAAACTTCCAAGATTTTTCTAGTCGTGATTCTTGACATAAATAATCACCAATGTTACTTCTCCTAAATATAAAGATGCCAATTCATCTGGCTAAAAACACAACTTAATTCTTCTTTCATTTCAAAACAAATTGAAACTATGCCCCCTGATAATGTAAAATTCTACAAATTACTTCTAACAGATTACAGTTTTGGCATTATTAAATTCCTTTTGCTGACATGAAATCGAATGCCTCCAGTTTTTAGAGAGGACTGCTAAAGTAACACATACACAAAGAAAAAAAAAATGCTGCTAAGTCAAGTGATTTCTAAGCCTGATCTGAGTTACCCTGGGTGACAGCTGAAAGTGTACAGTTCTTAAGGGAGGCTGGAAGGAGGAGGAGCGAAGTGGGCTAGGATGATTAGCATAAAGAGGCAGGCAAGATGGGCGTTGGAGCTGCTTTGAATAATAGTGACCAAAGCACAGTTTCTAAAGATGCCCTGCCATTATGTTACAGTAATTGAGTACCTGATTTCTGCCACTTTGTTTGTAATTAATATGCAAGCTGAGAGCAGGAGTTTATACCGCATGGACGTTCATTTGTACATGTGAAATCTAAAAGGTATAAATGGAACTGGTAATGAGCTCATGGAAATGTACTGCTGGAACTTTCAATTTCTGTAAACACCTCCTAGTCTTCAGAAGGGGGCAGTTAGAGGGCAGCCTTCCTGCCAAGACAACTAGAGTTCTGGAAGAAAAATAAACACATAAAACATTATCTTTCCAGAGTCCTGTTTCTGTTTCCCTTTTAGAGTTCCTATTGCTACTTCTAGGTCATAGAAAGTAATTTCCAGTTTTACTTGTTGGCTATTTCGTTACTGTTTAAAAGCATAAACCCCAAACACCTTTAATTTAACTTGAGAGCCTGCCACAACTGAAGTCATAATAAATGCTGGTAGGTCCTGCCCTTCAAGAGTCACAGCTCTTCCCAGATTTAGAAAGAAGGTAGGGGGCAGGACTAAGGAGAAAGGCAGAGCTGTTTAGCCTGAGGGTCTGGACTCTGCAGCTTATATACATTTGGAAATTGGTGTTAAACTTGACACTGTTATGAACTTATCTCCTAACCAGATCTGTGTGGCTGCCCTCACTTTACTTTGAGGCAGTCAATAATGCCCCAAGTATAGTCTGGTTTATGAAAATCTTTATGAAATAGGTGATTGCTCTTTTGTAATTCTTGAATGCTTTAATTGTTTCAGTAGTCTATCTGCTGCAGTTTTCAGCCTGTCACAGTGTAACAGATGACAGATGTGTTTTGCTACTTTGAAAGAGAGTCTTGTTATTGGAGAGCCATGGTTTTTACTTTAAATGTCTGCTATTCATCTCATCTTCCACAAAAGCTATGGTGGAAAGCCAGGTGATTTTTCCTGAATAATGTAAAGTTATTGATATTTTATCAAGTTGTGTACCTCACTAATAAGCATATTATTATACAGTACAAAACTGTAAGCCAGCCCTTTTGAGAAATACATTTAAAATGTTTTATGATGAAAAAATTTAGAAATACATGAGTAGGAGAGAATAGCACAATAAGCCCTGCATACTCATCACTTGGATTCAATAATTATCAACTCGTAGACAATCATGTCTCAAAACTATGTGTTTTATCATAGCCATTCTCTCCCTTACTACACCACTGGAGTTGAAGCATTCAGACATCATTGCATTAATAAATATTTCAGTATATATTTCTAAAATGTGAGGATTTAAAAAGTCATAATAAGATAGTCACGCTTGTTACAATTAAATGTGATGCTTTACATGGTGCAAACTGCCTGTAATTAAGTATCCAAGCAGTGTTCTTATTTTCCTGATTGTCTCATAAACTTTTTTATCTTTACTTTTTTTCTTTGCAAATTGAGACCTAAAGGGCCACACATTGTATTTGGTTGATATATTTCTTAAGTCTTTTTTAATCTATAGGCTCATCTCAGAGATAAATATTGCTTGGAAATGAATATCTACACTTACCCTAATTTATGTCTGATTTTTCAAGGAAGCCCCGTAGATGCCTCCATTTTTCTTCCTCAGGGAAAAAAAGAGAAGAAAAGGAATGGTTATCTGGCCGTGGAGGTTAAGACATCCAGCTTTCTTGTTCACGGTGCTCTCATTCACGTATGGTGTAACCTTGACCCAGGTGCATAACATCTCTGCATTTGTGTCTTAATTTGTCATATGAAACAAATGTTTGTTAAACATTGTGATAAATTATTCAACACTCATTCTTTGGATATAAAGGCCTGGGAAAGGGAGAAGTATCCTGCTTTGTCTCTGACTAGAGCCTAAGGAGAAAGAAATAGATTTAAAACTAAAATCTGGGTAGGATTTAGGAATGCATTTGAAAATCTAGCCCCTCAGTTTTCAAACTTAGCTAAGTATCATAATTACCTGGGCAGTGTAGTAAAGATGTAGATTCGTGAACCCCAGCTGCACAGTCTGATGTCTAAGGTGGAGTCTGGAATCTATATATTTTTATAAGTCCTCTGGTCTAAATAAACAAGCATTACCTGCTTAAACAGGGCTGGTTTGTTCTACTATTTCATTCATTATATCTTTCTTGAGGTCTGATAAAACTAAACACTCCTTAAACAGTAATTTCAAGTGCCACAGCATAATGGGACAGGGAGGATAACAAAGGAATGCTACTGCTTCCTCTTTTGTGCATCAACAAGGCAGTCCTGGGCAGTGGCCCTGTGATGGATTAGCCAAGTCAAGGGACCCTGGCTGGGTTCTGATACTGCGTGTTGAGTTCCACTGCTGTTCTTGAAGGAGTCTCTGGTTTGATTTACCAGTTTCCACTGGAAATCAGCCAGTATGGCGGAAAGCAGCATGTTACAGGAGTACATAAGATAACCTCAGATGTATTGGCTGCAGTGGGATGGGGGACTACTTTGCTTACCCCTTTTCCCACTTACTTTCCAGAAACACCACCAAATTAGTTCACAATGGGCATATTGTACCTGGTGGTACGAGGAACAGGCAATGTGCTAGATTTATTAGAGTGTGTCACTTTAAAAACTCACTTTTTTACTTTTTATGTTATACAATGCACACACAAAATTATTTTAAAATGTTAACATTCATAATGTATTAGTGTGGCAGTACCACATGAATATGATTCATAAACATACATACAAACCCACATCAGAGTACATTCTCAAGCATTTGTTGTTGACAGGGGTGCATGATCGCCAAGTTCAGAGACCTCTATGACGGAGGAAGAGGGCTGGGCCTTGTGGGAGGATGATGCTCTCATTTAAAGAAAACAGTCATTTTACTTCTTCCTTCTGAATTGTACAGCTGTTCTTTTCTACATCCTTCTTCTAATTTTGTTAGTACTTTTTCAATTCTACTTCTAAAATAAAATTGAGTGTGTCTTACCCAGTTTAGGCTGCTATACAAGATTGTAATAAACAAGATGGCTTATAAACAACAGAAATTTATTTCTCACAGTTATGGAGGCTAGGAAGTGCAAGATCAAGGCACAAGCATAGTCAAGTTCTAGTGAGGACCTTCTTCCAGACTGCAGACTGCTATCTTCTATTATTCTCACATGGTGGAGAGGGTAAGAGAACTCTCTGAAGTCACTTTTATAAAGGCGCAAACCCCATTTATGAGGGCCCCATCCACATGGCCTAATTACCTTCCAAATGCTTGCCTCCTAATGCTATTACATTGGAGATTAGGATTTCAACATAATAATTTGCAAGAGGGGGTACAAAAGATTTAGTGTTTAACAAGTTGCCTTCTCAAGGGTGGAAGAGAGTTTTTAATCCAAATTCAGCTCCATGAAGGGTCAATGAAGAAAACTGTCTATAAGCTGTTTAGATTCCCTAATTTCTTACTGTTGAACTAAAACTACTTGCTTCCTAGCCCATTGATACTGTATATTAGTGCGAGCAAGCATGTGTGCGCACGCGTGCACACACACACACACCCTTCTTATCCCTTCCTGGCATTTGCAACTGTCACGAGAGGATCAAGTGTTGTAGCTTAGATATTGGTCTTCGGCTTCAAACAACAGTAGTACCTAGTGAGCTGCAGGTGGGAAATCCTAGGACCCCAAGAAAGCTCCCTGAACAGTTGTATGAGTACCATGGCCATCGAAGTTCTCCCTCATTGCTCAGTGAGGACCTAGAGAGACTGGGCTTGGAAAAGCTGCAAGAGTCAGAATATAGGATCTTTTTCATGGCCTCAGGGGTAACCATATGAAAGTGGTGGAGAATAAATCAAGAAAGAATCAGCCTTCCACTTTTAATCCTTTAAATTGCTCCTCAAACAGTGAGAGCCTGAAGCTCTCCCAGGACCTCTGAAACCTAAAGTTAAGTGTCATTGGCACAATTAGACAAAACTACTGAATGTTTTTCTCCTCCCCTTTTCTGTGTATTACAAATATCAGCTATATCAGCAAACTTATACTTCTTCATTGTCAGCTTTTTCAAAGTAAAAAGTGTTTTTCGGATCAGGATAAGCAAAGAAAACAGATGATACTAGAGATCATTATACAATGTATGCAATATCATGTGTCACTTAAAACTAAAAAGAGATTGAATCTTAAATAGAAATTTTAATAAGGCAATTGAGAAAGAGTGTTTTAAAATTACTTTTTGGAGAAACTAATCAAAATAGCAGGCTGAGCATACACTTCCAAATACATTTAAATGATATAAAAGTTATACAGAGAAATAAAAAATATAGATGAACATACATTAGAAAGTTATCTTTAAGTATCTGCCATTATTGGATCATTAAAAGAACTTACTGGAAGTAAAAAAGAGATAGGATCTGAACAATAAGAGCAGAATAAACTAGTAAAAGAAAAGGCTCAGAGCCAATAAATATGCATATCATTGCATATTAATGAAAGAAATGACTGTGAAACAGTCATGTTTATCTGTAGGATAAATCCTGGCAATTGTCCATTAAAGTGTGAATTGCCTGCCTGGGAAAGGTTTTTAAACAGAAACCAGAAAGAGAAGCAGAGCCAGAAGTGCCCTAGGACCTCTCTTTTTCCCCTTCCCCATGGGGAGGGGTGAGGAGAGAAACTGATAATTGGAGAATATCTTCAGGCTGCCTATCTGTTCTATATCCAAAACCCAAAAGTGAAGTTTGTCAACACAACCAGTGTGCTTACACAAAGCTTGTGGTCAAACGCTTAGGAAAAGGCTGCTGGAGAAAAAGACTCACAAAGCTGCAGAGGAAAATCATGCTAACTCCCTATACTAATCAAACTAGATTTTTACCCACAAACATGAACTACCAATACAGAATATTTGAGGAAAACTAATAGCAGAAAGGAAAAGGACCAGAATGAGCAAACAGAACAGATGGCCCTGGAAAACATAAAAATAACACAAGAAACTGAAGAGACCTTAAAAAATTTTAATTGATGTCCTGAGAAAAAGATAAGATATTGCATCCATAATATAAGAATAGGCTGCCATAAAAATGAGCTATTATAGAAAAATTCTTGAAAATTAAGAATAAGATTGCCAAAACAAAATCTTTAAAAAGCTGAACCCAATGATGAACACGACTAAGGTAGAATTAGTCATATAGAAGCTAAAATCAAGGAAATCTCAAAGAATACAGAATCTTTGAATCAAAGATTCAAATCTCAAAAAGACAGAAAAATGGGTGAACAAGTTGAAGTTGAAGCATAGAAGGTCAGTCTTAGGAAATCTCTCTGTCACTTTACTAATGAGCTGTGACGTTGGACAAACACCATAATACTAATATCCTACCTTAAAAGTGTATTTGCTATTTGCCCGGCACTGTTCTAAGATCTTACACGTATTAACTCATTTAATTCACTCAGTGGACTTTTAACTAATGGATATATTTCTAGATACCATGATCTACCATAATCTTGGCTTCAGGAGCAGAGTGCTTTGTAGTGGTTTTATCTGGTAAATTAGTTTCTCTACAAGGTACTAAATAAGTGTCATAGAGTCTGCATCTTACCTTCCATTCCTCCTTTCAAATGTTAGCCAGGGATTCTTTCTCTCCCTCCCTGAAAATGTTGCTGCAGCTGTAGTAGAGAGAAACAAAAGACACAAATGTAGAATAATCTAATCACATAGCCAAGAAATTTTAGAGACAAGAGACAATGCCACAGGGACAGTGGTAATCCACTGACATGTTGTATTAGCCTAAACAGAGCTTCAAATAATATTCAATTAACAATAAATATTTTTAAAGACATGTAGATTTTATGTAAAATTCTAAATTTCAGGTTCTTATCACAAAATTGGGCCCCCCAATTGCACCTCCTTCCCCAAAAGCCATTGTAATAGGCTCTAAAATACAGTAGCTCAAAAAGATAAACTTTTCTTTCTTCCTTACAAAATAATCCAGCTATGTGCAAGTGTTCCAGAGTGGACAGGTGGCTCTATCTGAGGTTATCCAGGAAGCAGCTTGGTTGCTTCTATTTTCTTGTTCAAAAAAAATTTATTTACTGTTAATATTTTGGATTTTTTAAAATTACTATCTTCACCAGAAAATAAATTCTTTTCCTTTTGCAAGCACTGATATATTGAATGATTTAGGGCAAATTTAAATCTCCTGCATCTGGTAGATGATTAATAGAAATATAAAACTACTAAATTTGTTCTTCTTTAAATCAATGAAATATGACATTTTTTAAAGACAGGCTGGAGTACAGTGGCACAATCTGGGCTCACTGCAGCCTCCCTCCCAGGCTCAAGCAGTTTTCCCACTGCAGCCTCCTGAGTAGACTAAAGGCATACCACCACACCCAGCTAAATTTTTGTATATTTTGTAGAGATGAAGTTTCATCATGTTGCCTAGGCTGGTCTTGAACTCTGGGTCTCAAGAAATCCACCTGCCTTGACCCCCCAAAATGCTGGGATGACAGGTGACCTTAAAATTTATCATGCACTGTTTTAAAAATTATAGATACAGATATGGTAAGATAAAACAGACACTAACAAAAAGTTCTCGGCAAAACATGACATACAACCTATAATGACATGGATGATGCCAAAGAAGAGAGAGAAATATAAGTTGCACCTATTCATATGTACACAGATGCCTTGTTTGTACTAATAGTAAATGTCTATTCTATATTCCTTTCATAATCTTCATTCTAAAGCAGGCATTGTTGAGTGCCTGCCCAACAGTATTTCCTTCTTCCTTTTTTTCAGATAGAAATCTGATCATGTGCAGTCATCTGCTTCAGGAGAGGTGGTCCTTATCCCCTCAATAGGGATTGGTCTGACTCATCATGAAGACCTCATTCTCCTTGCCAGTCACTGCTTTAAGTAGGACATAGGATGCTGTCAGTCCAATGATATGAGAAGGGAATCTACTGGACTGGTTGGTGGAGCTCTGGGAAAGGTTTTCTCAGAGGCTATGGGAAGAAATGGGCTCCTTTTTCTGCTTCTGGATATTGTCATTAGGATGTGATATTCTAAGATGGCTTTCAGGGGACCTAGTCTGAAGAAAAGGTGGGACATTCCTGGGTCTTCTCATGATATTGTTGAGCCACAAAATTAACCAACCTGAGCACTGCCTCACCTCTGGAATTCTTTAAATGTGAGATGATAAATTGCTTTATTGCTTATGTACTTAAGTGTAAGCTTCAACTTTAAGTTTGCTTGCCACTAAAAACATCCCAACCGGCCGGGCGTGGTGGCTCAAGCCTGTAATCCCAGCACTTTGGGAGGCCGAGGCGGGTGGATCACGAGGTCAAGAGATCGAGACCATCCTGGTCAACATGGTGAAACCCCGTCTCTACTAAAAATACAAAAAATTAGCTGGGCATGGTGGTGCGTGCCTGTAATCCCAGCTACTCAGGAGGTTGAGGCAGGAGAATTGCCTGAACCCAGGAGGCGGAGGTTGCGGTGAGCCGAGATCGCGCCATTGCACTCCAGCCTGGGTAACATGAGTGAAACTCCGTCTCAAAAAAAAAAAAAAAAAAAAAAAAAAAAAAAA